TCAGCTGTCAGAGAAGTCCAAGGAGATGGAAATGGGTTTCTTTTTGTGGGTCCCGCAGACAGGCTGTCTAGTCTGGCAGGTCAACAGAAGTTTGCAGGAAGGCAGGCAGGGTGTGGCGTTCCCAGTCTAAACTTGGTGCGGGTCAAGGAGGCACGCATGCATGGAAGAGCTGGAGAGACAGAAATGATGGGTCAGAAGCAGTTGAGGGGGAGGAGAGAAAGGGCTTGTTGGAGAGCAGTCAGCAGAAATCAGTTGGAGAAATGAAGCCGCATGGATCTGCAGTAGAAAGACAAGAAAAAGAGGAAGGGGAGATTTGAGATTCGCAGGAAGCTGGAGTGGGAGCTTGCAGAAGCGACAGTGGAAAAGCGACACGTCCCTTTTCTCTTAAGTAGCAGCAACTTGGGCCAACATTCGCTCAAGTGTTCCTTGCACACTAAATCAGCACATGAACTGTCACCCGGTGAAGATCTTGAACTCTGATAACCACATTTAAGCAGCGAGCAGATGTGTGACGCAATCTATTATGAATGGCTCCCTGAAACCACAACATTTCCTTCTGACGCACACAGAGACTAGATGGACCCTCTCCTTTCTCAGCCAGGGCCTCCTGGGCTTACTGTAGGGAAAATCAGCCCTTGCAAAGGATGCATACCTGGGCTTGTGCACATTACTGAACTGGAGTGGGGTATCCACATCTTCACTCCCTACCTCTTTCTCCTCCACCTGGGACTGGCTAAACAACCCCTTCACAGCAGCAAGCCCAGTGCTTCATGGAGGGCACACAGGCCAGTAGAAGAAAAGCCAACACGAAAGGCAGCCAGGACTGGGTCCTCCCAGGGCCCCTGGCTAGAGCCCCTGAGCTTGCTCCCCTCTTCACCTGCAACCGGTGTGCTCACCTGCTGATCACTTTGACTTGGAGGAGGGGGAGCAGGGGGTGCCGTGGCCCAACTTGCTTGCCGCTCCTCCGCCTTCCAAGCCCCAAGAGGCAACGATGCGAAAGCGGCCAAGCCAAGATGAGGTGCGAGAGCAGTGCCGAGGCTGGGGTGCCGCTGGAGGTGCGTCGCCCAACGGCCCGCAGGAGCCAGGAGCTGCCGCTGCGGCGGACACGATGCCACTACCAACGAACCTCTCAGGAAGCCTCTCTCCCATCATCCCCTGCATAGAGCAAAAGCAGCAGCGCTTCTTGGGAGGCCTTCCTGGACAAAACATGCACCCTGCCCTCTTCCGCCCTGGCCTACACACGCTGCAGAGTGAAGTGTGGGGACAAACCTCACCCTTCGGACATGCGTAAGGGGCGCATTGTGGGCCACACCTCGGAATGCTCCCTGACAGTGCTAAAGAGCAGGGACAAGTCAAAATGGGGCCGGTTTGGGAGGGGCAGCCCTGCTTCACTTCCCACGCGTATCCCCTCCTCCTTCTATTGGTCTTGCACTGGGCAGTGCTTGTTCCTAAACCACACCAGACAGCAGCAATTGTCCGTTGACTGTGGCTTGTTAGGAAGCGTCAAAAACCAGACAGCAACTGTGCTGTAACCCTGCATTCTACACCGGTGGTTTTCAGTTGCATAGCAGCTTGTCCTTCTTTTTTTTCGATTTATATCCTGCCTTTTTCCTACCAAGGACTCAAGGCAGCTTATATCTGCTCCTCCATCTGATCCCCACAACAACAACCCCGTGAGGTAGGTTGGGCTGAGAGTCTGTGACGGGCCCAAAGTCACCCAGCTGGCTCCATGGCTGAGCGGGGACTCGAACCCAGGTCACCTGAGTCCCAGTCCCACGCTCTGAACCACCACACCACATTGGCGCTCATTTCTCTCTTCTTCCTTTAGCCCCCTAAGTTTCTAGCACAATTGGAGACTTTCAGGGAGAGCCACAAAAGCAGCCGCCCATGAACTGAGCCCTTCTAGAGAGAAAGTGGTGCGCAGCTTCTTATACAGGAGTCTCAGGGTGATTTCCTACCCTGAGCAATCGGAGACACAGAGGGAAAAGGGCCCTGTCCGACCGCCAGGGGCACAGCCACACGTCGGGTCCACGACGCCTGTGACACTGTGCAGGGGATGCTGTCAAAACAAAGACAAGGTCAGGAAACAGGAGCTGAGAAAAGCACTTTGGGATTTCAGCGTCAAGCTAGAAAAGGGAGTGAACGCTATTCTTCTCTCCTCCCGATAAGAATTGCCTGCGCTCTTAGAGGAAGATCATTTGGCAGAATTGTTTTTCTCAGCCCACCATAAATAACCAGGCCAATTGTGCACATACCCTTTCAAAAACCCAGTCCTGGACAATTCTTAAAGCAGCAGCTCCCTGCGGCACGAACACCGAGTTAACTCGAAATCCACTGGGAGGAATTCATTTCCAGTTTGCGGGGAAATAGAAACACAGCAGCAAGCATTGGCATGGTGGGTGCTCTGGCATCGCCACCAAAGGCAGGGCAGGGCAGGGCACTGCTGTGTGGAGACACTGAAGCCGCGAAGGGCTCTCCCATGCAGCCCACACCGCGCAGTGCCAATGAGCCGCGAAACAGAGATGAACAGAACCAGGCTACAAAACATTTCTTTCCGGGGAGCAAAACACTCAGATCAGGCTGCAGGATTTCACTTGTTTCCCTCCTACTCCTTTCCCCTTCCCATCTTAACCCAAGAGAAGAAGGGGGAAGGCAACTGTGAGATGGATTCATTCCATTAAGGAAGCCACCTCCTTGAGCTGCTGAGGACGGGCCATTTTGGAGGGCATTCCTTCATAGGGTTGTCATAGGTTGGAGCTGACTAACATCACATAACAGCAGCAGAGCTGAGCAAGCTGCAAATTAGAAGAGCAGATGGGAAGAAGCTACTTATCACTTTCGCCTCCTGCTATTTTGTGAGCTCACGGTCGCCCTCCCCAAGCTTTCGTTGTCCCGACTGGGGGGAGATACAGAGCAGATGGGGGGCAGGGGGTTCATTGCTTGGTCGATCTAGCCTGAGTACATGCCTCCCCAGCCTGGTCGCCCTCCAGATGTGCTGGAGTGCCGTTCCCAGAATCCCCAGCCTCTGAGCCCCACCCAGCTAGTGAGCACCGGGTTGGAGTAGACTTGTCTACCTTTCGCAAGACCCTGTTAAGAAGCCCCCAGGCTGCTGAATCATGTGTGATCTAGGAAGCGGGGATGACGTTGCTTTCTCCCTGCCAGCAGCAGCTCGAAAGGGGTGAAGCCCAAGTCCTAGGAAAGATGTTGCCCCTATAGCAGGGGATGAGCTGAGGGAAAAACCAAGGGCATGCAGGCGGGCAGTGATCCTGAGCGGAAAAATTAAGCACCCCATCCTGATCTGCAACTGTTTCCATTCAGTGTATCCTGCCTCTACTACTTCAGAGACGAGTTCACTCGAAGTGGTGGTTTAAACCCGTATGAACCCAAACACTGGGCTCTTAAGCTGGTTTTGGGTCCCAGCTCACGTTGCCAACAGAAAGATTTATTAGGCTGGTGAGCACAAGACACAGGGTCTTTTTTGTGCTGGCCTCATTCTCAAACAACCCTTCACAGTTTGTGTTTGGTGCTTTCTTCATGACTCTTCTGAAATGAACCCTGAAGGCTTGAGCAGTTGCAGACTGCTTTTCAGTATTAAGTAATGGATGAGAATCTTTATTTCAGAAACTGGAGCTTACTATTTCTGTAATTGTAAATGTTTTGTGCTAGTATTTCTGTTAACTGTATTTGAGATTTTAGTGCTTGATTGTTTTTTTTTTTTAGAAGTGCTTAATTTCAAAAGGCAGCACAAATATCTTTGGAAAAAAGAATGCCAATAATTTGTAGAGGAATGAATCACTGAACTTTTCATAAAAAGTAGTTATGAGCCAAAGCTATCAGGAGATTTGGAACATGTTTACGGGAATCAAATTAACCCAGGTCCTCCCATGCACACATATCTATTAATGTCATATCTTGCAATTAGGGATATATATTATTTTCATTTTCACCAGCTTCTTCTGTCCTTGGGACTGATGGCTTGGTAAGTAGCATTCATTCTATGCCAATTTAGCAATGGAAGAAAAATATATTTAGATGGATGATCGTTTCTGTATCATTGAGGAACAAAACTGAGTTTACAAGCTGTACCAAATGGCTGAAGAGTTAGAGGACACACTGAACTGTTTCTAAATTTAATCACTGCTCTGTTTTTACCCACTACAGAGAAGGTTTGCATAACACAGCACTGCGTTTATTAAAAAGGAAAGATTCTGGCCAGTCCCAGGTGGGTCTCAGTGGAGAGGTAACCGCAGGGAAAGCAATTCAGGCCAAGGTGGGACATCCTTCAGCAAGGGCACTGCATGTGATTGGGGACTGAATTTTTACTGTCTGGATTCCTGAGGCTGAGATGCTGGGAAGGGTCAGGAGTGCAAACTGCAGGCAATGGAGCAGAATGGGAAAGAGCTGGATGAATCCTCCAAAGCATCTCAAGCGAGGATCATTTCACAAACGTACCAAAGGGAGAAGGACAGGCATAGTTTGTAGCCTGCCGTTAAGCATGTTCGCTCGGTGGTCAGTCCTGCTATGAACTGCTTTCCGGGACATCTGGGCTCCCTGCCGCTCCTGATCCCTTGGTTACTTTTAATTTACTATTCTATGCGTTTTTTAATAGCTGGGATTCTGACACATCGCAAGCAAGTTGCAGCCCTCCACCGCCATTTTCGTGGGGGTTCAGAAGGGTGGCTTGTGGACCAAGTTTCCTGAGCAAGTTAGATTTCTTTTACTCTCTTCCCAGCACAACAGGTGGGGTGGGTTCTGGGGGCCACCTCTAAAGAATACTGGCCACCTGGCCTTGGACGCTTTAAAGGCCCCCTCCCTTCCTCACCCCTGGTTGGACTCAGGCTGAGCACACGGTGCCTGAGCAATGGATGCCCGTGGCATCCATTCCTGCTGTGGCAACTGTTCCTTTGCCTTCTCTCACACAGCATCTCTGGGGTTCTGGAGGAAGAAACCTGCTGGCTCACACGCACACCCACACCCACAAACACGCCCACTCCGCTTACCTCTGACAAATACGTATATCTGGGTCTTCAGGCCTTCCTTCGAAGGGAACTGCTTGTAAAGGCACGTGAAGTAGCCCGTGTCGTTGGCGATGGTGGGTCTGACCACAAGGCTGCTGCACGTCTGCCACGGCCTGTTGGGACACTTCTGCTTGTTCACGTGCCACCTCTTGCCATCGATGGATTGGCCATTTTCCCGGCGCCATGTCAAACCGTTTGCACCCCTGTCAATGGAACAGATGGACGTACGGAGTCAGTTTTAACTTTCAGGCAGGATTGTGCATGCATGCGTGTGTGTGTCAAAACTATATTTAAGCCTGCCTTCTGTGTAGGAGTTGTGGGAACTGTCTCATAGCACTTCTAGCTCAGCCACACAGGGTGCTGGCAAATGGTCCTAGTACAACGGATGCTGCCCTGGAATGGACCAGATTCCATGCATCTGGGAGCAGCATTGCCAGATCTTCCAGTCCAATTGACCATTGAGGGGAAATTCACTGATGAAGGGGAGATTGCAGGGTAAGGAGATTGCTCCAAGGGGCAGACTATTTCATGTGGTCACATCATTCGTTCTCCACATTCCCCGCGATTCTTTGACTTTCTTTGGAAGAGACAGAGCTCCCCCGTTTGTCCAGGGCTGGGTCTTCCCTGTGATGACCCCTCCCCACTTTGTGGAATTTAGTCCTCATGGCCTTCTGCTTAGCTACTTTTCCACCTAACTTCCACCACAAAGTTTAAGCAAAAGCAGAATACTTTCTTGTAGTCTGAAGAGAGCAGGGTTGAATCCTCCAAGGTAAAGCCAAAAATCTAGGTGGCTGTGTTGATCCATATCAAGAACCTTGTTGTAGCAAGTTTCCTCTTCACCAGGAACTAGACCTTTGCAAAGTGGATGGGCCATTGGTGCCCATTCAAGGCCAAGCCGGAACAAAATACCTGTGCTTATGGTAGGGGTAGCTCACAACTATTGCTGGTGAGAAAATTCATTTCTTTGCTCTTTGGCTACTGTGAGCATGGCAATTAAGCTCAGTGGGAACCAAACATCTGAGTGGGCTGGAAGGAGGCAGCATCCTTGTTAATAAAATGTGCTGTCAGATTGTGCCTGTGAGTTGTGGGTCCATTCCACCACTGTATGAGACACACATGCATCAGACCAGTTGTGTTGTTGGTTTTCTGGTGCTTAATGTGTTAACATTTCACAGCACTTTCCATTCCACTGAAGGAGCAATAAAGCTAATAATCATTGTCTCTTTCTCCCAGCATAAACCACATAATCAACACTCTTAACTTCTTTAAATAAATCTGCCATTGGCAAGTGATTGCTAAACTGGCTTAGGAGACAGGTTAAGCCTTTTCAAAACTTCAGTGAGGTTAAGGTGAGATCATTCCTGCCTCTCTTTGATGCAGCTGCTGGTGCTTGAGCAATGTTATTAGAAAGAGCACAATATGGATTCTGGAGGAAAGGTATGATTATGTTCCATTTTGGCGGAACAAATAGTGCCTATTTGAAATAGCTGGAAATGTTGTTATACAAAATGCTCGAGGTCTCTTCAGGAAAAACACACTTTAGGTTTCCTGAAAATTGCATTCAGATATATTTGGTTGCATCTCTGTGTACGGTGTATGTGTGGGTCAGAGGGAGGGAGGGAGGGAGGTGGGGAGGGAGAACGAAAGCAATGAAGGAGATGTAGGGTTGGAATTAGGGGCTGACAGTGAGACATTTTCACACCTGAAGGTTAAAGCCTAGCTTTGCTCTACTCTTGTGTTAGAAAATAAATGCACGGCGTGTTGGTGCGATTGTGCCCAGGACTTGCTCCTGTACCTTTAGCAGCAGCTGCCTCAACAAAGCAATGCAATCTCATTGGAGAAGATGTTGTTTGTTATAACATTTGCTTTGACTGTGTCTTCCACCCTATTAAAGATCTGAAGCAAACAGTAAAACCTACACAACAGCTACATGTCTTTAGATATTATTTTACACGTGGTTGTCAGTGGATGCGGGGCAGGGGAATAAAAACCTTCAGGAGCAATTATCAATTGTCAAGCTTTTTATGAGGTGGGTATCTTTGATTTACACCGTACATTATATTTGTTTCAAGATACAACAGCATATTTTATTTCTCTGTCTTGCAGGCTAGACACTGTTGCTGGGAGAAGGCTGGGGGAATTTTTTTTATGAGGGAAAAAACATTGATTATTCTTCATCCTATTTTTTTGGAGAAGACAGGGGCGTGTTTGTAGCACGCTAATTTCCACAACAAGCACCACTGCCTCTGTCTACACACACCCTGCTACAAAAAGCCAAAACATATCTTCACTGTCTCTTGTGTTCAACACTCCTTTGGGCAGCAATGATCTGCAGCCACTAATATAAAAGCTGTGTGAGTGATTATTCTTTGGTAAGTAAGTAGTTTATACTACTTATCCATAGTTTAAAATATATCTGAGCACATGTTCACTAGAGACAAGATGGGCCCTTCCACAAAGTTCTAGAATAAGAACAGCAATGGTAGGGGATGCCACCTGAGAATAAGCTAAGAGTTAATTTGATCTTGGGGTTTTAAAACAAGCATGAGGCTTAGTATTAATGGCAGCTCAGGAAAGAAAGCAAAATAACTGCTCTGGATGCATCAAAAGCATTGGGGGGAAGGGAGTCACAAGAAGCAGGGGGATGTTGCCTAGCTACCAAGTTTCCATTTAGCACAGGTCCCTTGTGTATAAAAAGACTAGGATGTTCATTATGTTCAGTAGTAGTAGCAGTTTCATTCTGTTAAAAGCCTGGCGTGATTTGCTCTTCTGGCTACTTAGCTAGGAACTATGATTCAGTAAGATTTGCCAAGCTCTTCAATGTCAGTCTGCTGTATTCTGTCACTTTTGCTTGCACAAGACATCTTTGGAAGGGATCTGAAAATCGATTCAAACAACTCAGTGTAACAAAATGTTGATCAGACATTCCATTTCTAGTAGCTGATAAGCACTAGAGAAGGACAGCTCTAGTAAGTTGAAGCCCATAACTTGCACTGGCTTCTGAATTAAAGGGAGATTCTCAAAGGGGTTGTTTATAAAATATTTACAGTATAACGCCTATTCAGAAGATAGCCCCATTGAGTTCAATGAGATTTACCTCCTAGTAAACCAGTTCAGAGTTGTAGGCACATATTATAATCCTATGCATATCTCCTACAATGCAAGATCCTATTAAATTCTGTGAGGCTTGCTTCTGAGTAAGTCTGCACAGGAAATTCAAAACACATCTGGTAATTATTAAATGGGTAATTATTTTGGTAGTGGTGACATTGTGGTGAGGAGAATGGAAGGGAAAGAAAGCCATGCACTAGTATACTATGTGTTATTTAATATTATTTAATATTAAATATTATTATTGTTATTGTTGCTATTCTTAAGAGAGTTGTATCCTCCATTTCCACTCTGCACAGTGCTCGAGGACATTAAAATCAACAATAATCTTAACAATATGTCAAAAGCAATTACCAGCAGACAGAGAGACTCCATGCTCCAGAGTCAAGGGAGGTGCATCAGTCCCCATTCAGGGCCAAAGTGCATGCTTTACTGAAGGCGCAGTGGAAAGTTCCTTGGTTGCTGTTTAAGCATGCAGTGAAGAGAGGTTTACGCCTTTCCTTCCCAACTCTAAGAGGATGAAACACCCCCACTCATTCTACGCGTGAGCATGTGTGAAAGGGAAGGGATAAAGGAAAGTGGCGGGGGCGGGGAGACTCTTCTTAAGCAAGTTCTGCGGTTTGATCATTTCTCATGTCATTGTTTACCACCTTGAGTTTTTAAGAGGCAGGAGACCGACCAGTGAAATGCAGGCATCTCCATCAGCCTGGGCTAAGGGCTTCATTCCCAAATCTGAGTTCTTTGGGGAGAGCTGCGCACTGTCTTTGCACCCTTCAGAAGAGTGGGATGCTCCGTTGTGCCTCACCTTCAAGGCAGGAGTCCTGACACATCAGGGAGTCTCAGCCACCAAATCTGTGCTCTCTCCAGAATTCCTAGCAAGTTACCTGCAAGTTATGGTGAAAGCGTCTCCCGCATTGACGGTGGTGTTGTCTCCAGCAATGTTCAGTTCTGGCTTCACCAGACTCGCTTCCTTTGCAAGACCTGAGTCAAGAAAAAAAGGAGGAGAAGCAATCAATACTTATTTGGTGCAAACTCTACAACACAAAGTCTCTTCAGTCCCTAAACTGGAACAAACTGAGAAATTCTTGACTATGAGATCACCAGTGAAATTCATTCATTTGCACAGTTCAACTTATACAATGACAAAGTGAGAGCAGAATACGTGGGTAATACCAGCAACACAGATCCATTTGGCCAGCCAGCTGGTTTTCAGTAGATGATAGCAAACAAGTCTTTCCATTTTTTTCCCATTCCAATGTTGTGAAGGCCAGCTTTACTACACCTTTGGTGAATCATGGGCTCGGGTCACAGAATGGCCGAACAGGATTGCTGGAAGGGGCTGATAAGGGCCAGCTCCAAAAGGCACCCCAGCAGATGGCTGTCCAGCTGCATCTTGAATGCCTCCCATGTGGGAGAGCCCGCCACCTCCTTAGGTCATGGGTTCCATTGTCATATTGCTCTAACAGTCAGGAAGTTTTTCCTGATGCTCAGCAGGAATCTGGCTTCCTGAGCCCATTATTCTGTGTCCTGTACTCTGGGATGACTGAGAAGAGACCCTGGCCTTCCTCTGTGTGACAGTTTTTCAAGAGAGCTATCCTATCTCCTCTCCTCTCCTCTCCTGACTAAACATATCCAATTCTTCCAGACTCTTCCAGCTCATCGTGGGGCTTTGCTTAACACAATGCAACAAGGGTCGGTGGCTTGTTATTTGAGCCCAGCAACATGGCTTGTTAACCCTTCTGGCTTGGTTCAGACAACTACACCGGGCTTACGGTACCGTGCAGACCCTCTTCTTCCCTCCTGCTTCACAGTTTGTTTCAACAACACGAATGTCGCGTGGTGGCGCTGAGTTCTGACATTTCCCATCTCAATGCTCAAACTTTGAATGACACTTGAACGAGAAATTTTACTGCAGTGTTTGAAATGTGACTGCGAATTGAGATTTTAGATGGCACTTTGTGGCTTATTTGGAAGGATGCTTGCCAAAATTAAAACAAGCGTGGATATGTTGTAAACAATCATCCATCAAGTTTCCTAAATATTTCATACAGCTATCAAATACTGTCAAACCTCAAACATCGCAGGAAACCTTTCCAGCAAAATATCACAACTATAACTTAAAAATTCTTAAATATTATCAATTGTCTTCTACTGACTCATCCAGATACAGAAATGGGTTGCACACCTACCTAAGGAAGGGGATACTACAACCATAATTATATATTTCTTATCTGATTTATAAGCCAGTTGCCCTCTCACAACTGTACGCAAGAGATAATAAAAACTGAGCACACTAATCATGAAGCACAGTAAAATAACTGCCCAGTTAAAACAACAGCTGTAGCAAATAATATATCCGTTTCAATTAAGAAAAGCAAGGAAGTGATTTATAAAAGGTGGACAGAAAGATGTTCATTTTATTTATTAGTTTGTTTTCTTTAAAACTTCAAAGGATGAAGTACATCAGAACTTCCAAAATTCACTAGTCTGGCTGCAGCAGAGGGAGTTTTGATAACCACATGCCCTGCTCCCCCCCACTCCCCAAATGCAATCTGGCCTTAAACAACAATAACAACGAAGTGATTCTAAGGGAAAGAAAGGGTCAAGCAGAAAGAATGGTAGGGTGGAGAGAGAGAAGAAAATTTGTGACAGTGATAGGGCGAATCAGAAAGACGGATATATTTAGTGTAAAATGAGAGGGCAGCCCATGCCACAGGTTGGGGTTCAAAGAACAGGGTCCACCTGGGAAAACTAGATAAATATTCTGCAGATATTCTGCCCAACCAATATCTGAACAAGATCTATCATCAACTTCTGTAGAGGAGAATTTTGAAGAAGATCCTTGAAGACTTGGACTTTAGATACAAAACAGGTGGACTTCAGGAAAATACAAGGAAACTGAGCCGAGGTGATAAATTTAACTAAAGTGTTTTTATAGAGATGAAAGCAGTAAAGGTGCCACCAACACACAGCATGCCATCCAACACAGGGATGTAATTTAGCACTGTGGGCAACATTTTAAGCCCCACGGTGGTTAATAAAACCTTACAAGAACACATTGTGCTGCTTGTAAGGTTCAGATTCATATCAAAAAGTTCCCAGTGACTTTGAACTAAAGAGACTGGCTCACATCTTTGCTTCATCTGGGCTGGAGAGAAAGGGATGACAGGTTTTTTTCCTTTTCAAGGGCCATGTGTGTTTCTTCCTAACAGGTTTGATGGGGCTTTATGGTGGGTCACCCCAGCATTGAAAGGCGGTTGGGCGAGTTGGTTGGAGCAGCTTTGGAAAGCCTGAAATGGAGCTTTCACCAAAAGAGCCCCGGTATCCCTGAGGGAACAGCTTTCTAGCAGAGAAACAGCAAACCTTTAGTATTTTACTAAACACAGACTTCTAGTATTGGGGCGACGTATAAAAACTTTAAATAAATAAATAAAAATAAGCAAATCCAGCAAGTGTCAGGTGCAATTTTAAGCTTTCATACTCCATGTTCCAGTCCATGGATCCAGCCAAAGGCAAAGGCAACAGGGCCAGAAATACTAAGAATAGTAGCACATTTTAGCTTAAAGCGTTCACTGGTGGTGACTAAACCTTCAAATGTTTTGAATGGGGGAGAAGAAGACCTGTTCAAAAACTGGGAAACCCCCATCAAATGCTGGTGGGAGGCATTTGGCCTGATGGTCATCTTAGCATATCCTAAGATGTCAGGTCAAATGCCTCCCAACAGTTGGCCGTGTAAGCGCTGGATTGTGGCCCCAGGCGGGTTTGATGCGGAACAGTTCCTAAAATGGGATTCCAACCGTTCAAAATATATCTCAGTTGCTGCAATGCATTGCTCAGTGTCTTTGCTTGCATGTTTACGCATGTATGGACAGCATGGAGAAGACGCATTCTCCTCCGTGCTAAAGGATTTGACCTGGAACAAATCTGACCTGAGGAATGACTGTGCTAACGACACTAGGCCATCCCTGAAAGGCAAAGGGAGAGACAATACACAGACAGTATCATTTATCTGAATCCGAGGTCAGTTGCAGAAAGGGAAAGATCAAGGAAGTCAAGAAACCTTAAGAAAGGCCCTGGCAGTGCTGCGGGTCCAGTGCTTGATGGAGCGGATCGGAAGGGTGGTGACCAACAAGAAGAGGAACAAGGAGCAGTTGGCCGAATCTCCCTGACACAGACCACAACTTGACTGGTGGAGAACAAGAAGAAATGAGCAGGGAAAGGAAAGTCGAAGAATTTTGGATTGATATGGAAAGGGACACATGGAATTTAAGGAGCAGTCAGAGTCGCACAGCATCCCGTCCACACCTCCCAAGCAAAGGCAGGGAGAGGCATGACCTCCAGTCCCATCCTAATGGCTACCTGGGGCTTTGCTCGCTTGCCCCTGCAAGGCACTGAGATCAAGGTTTCGGATGGCTGGTGGCAGGTACGGAGCAGGCATGGCGGCGTCCTTTTCCTAGCAGGGGCTGTTGAGCCCACGGGGAAAAGTAATGAGGGGGCGCTGTGGTGGGTGGAAACAGGGCCTAAGGTGGGCAGGGTTTGTATCTCCGCAGAATGAAGTAGCTCTTTCTCTTGGAGTCACCTGGCCCCTTATCCATTCCCCCAACACACAGATGCAGCAGAAAAGAAAGCGATTCCATAGCAATGGCAGGTTCCTCAGCCCAGCTGAGTGGAGCGCCAGCCCCTCCTGCTTCTTTCATTCCCCACTTGAAGTTTCTTCCCCTGAAAACCCAACCGCCAGACTTCAGAGATGTTCTAGATATTGGATAAGAAGCAGCAGAATTCTTTGACAATCATCTACCTGTCAGGCATTTTAAAAAGGTGTTTACTTTCTTAGCATTCCTTTGGCATGCCAAAAACTCTTGCAGGTTCATGTAATGAAAAGGGAATGAATTGCAAAAAAGTAAAGGACAATGAAGGAGAGGAGAGATGTGCTGCATGTCAGAGGGAGGCAGGCATGTCAATCTCTTTCCCCAAAAACATAATTGGTAATGCCGATCAGCTATCACGCCTGAATCCCAGATTTTATTTTTTGGTCGTCACCGTTTCCTGCTATGCAGCACTGTGTGGGAAAGCCGCACAAAGAGAAGGAAACAGGCTCACTGGTTTTCGCTTGCGCACATTCATTCTGCAGAGTGACAGTGAATGTTATCAGGACATTGGAGTAAAAGATCCACGGGGCTTTTTGAAGTTGCTGTGCAGGTAGAAAGGAAAGAGAAGCACATTGAGCAAAGGACAGCCAACTTAAGACATGAAACAGGATGCCATGTGAAGAAGCGCTCTTTCCCTCTCCGCAAGGGATGTTGCTCATCACATCAAAACTCTTTGCTAGCCTAGAAATGGACGGGCCACTCTGTGTGAGCAGACACACGGCTGGGGCCTCCTTCCAAGCTCCAGCAGCCTGCCCAGGCTAATGCAAAGACGGAGACCTCTTGCTGAGATCTACTGCAAAGCACACTGCTAAGATCTCTTTCTTCCCCGGCCTAACACAACCGTTCCGTTCTTTACTCCTGCTTCAACCTTCCTGTTATGTTAGCACAAGCCCCCCAGATATGCAGTGCTCATCTCAAACACCACCAGCAAGTGCAGTTTTGCATTTTAAATGTGCCCAAGTTGGAGTGCCATTGGAGCTTGCATCTGCTAATGCAAAAGACATTTGTAATTGTAATTGTAATTGTTTTATTTCTTTCTTTCTATGAGCCGTCCCGGGGCTATGTAGCAAGGGGATGGCATATACAAACTTCAAACAAACAAACAAACAAACAAATAAATTTGCTTGGGGAGAAGCACTGTTTTGCTGTAGAGCACAATAATATGTTTTAAAGTAAAGTGCCTGTAATTATGTGCCTGCCTGGCCAGCTGCCCTGGCTATCAAGTGTGTCGAGAAAAAAGAAAAATGGAAGCACAGCCGGCATCCCACGTCCACCCCAGGAGACCCTGGCACTGCCCAGCACCCATTGCTCTTTGAAAGGTCACTGGGGCTT